CGTAACCATCAAATACTGTTGGTAATGAATAGGTTAAATTTTAAAGCAAGTATAGAGTACGCCAATCTCTGTAGTGTTTTATACAGTAATTACAATGGCGTAGCGTCCAGTCAAATACATGATTATTGATAACCTTTGCCAGACTTATTTTACCCATATATAATTTATAATTAGTGAAATCATTGTTCGTCCAGTGAAATAAATCCTTGATACTGTATCTCCCGCATGCTGGAATAATTATTATTTGTAGGCACAAACTTAGTCTACAGCGCTGTACATTCCAAAGCCTGCGCCTTCTAGGAGTTTATTATTACTGTTAACTCATGGAAAATCTGTATTTGTAAAATCTGTATGTTAATGTTCTCAATCTGGATGACACATTGCGTAGTGTATAGATTTTTCACCCTTCCCCCTCCGAGATGCTAAGATTTCACACATATGCTGCTGGATACCTTTGAATGTAAACACAATTCATCCCCAATCCATAACTCATAGAAAACATGTGACATTATATCGCTAGCTCATAAACATACATTTTTGGACACCTATGGAGAACGCCACAGGATACTTCGGGGGTTTATTTATTAAAGTACAGGTGTAAATATGCAGGGTTTTGTCTCTGAATATTTCTGATTAAATATAGCTGACACGGTGTAACTGGATGCAGCAATGGAGCACGGCTGCACTAAACGTGTGTGGCCTGCCAAAATGCAAAATAACCAAGATGTTAAAAATCTCCATCTTAACTGAGTTGAGAATCATTGGTTTGTTTTGACCTCACGTTTACAATTCTGAAGTCAAGCTGTTTTGGATGCACTGACCAGCCACAAAATTAAAACCACGGACAGGTGAAGTAAATAACTGATTATATTGTCACAATGGTATCTGTCAAGGGGTGGAATATATTAAGCAGCAAGTGAACAGTTAGTTCTTGAATTGAATGTGTTGTAAGCAGGAAGAATAGGCAAGTGATAAGATCTGAGTGACTTTGACAAGGGCCAAATAGTGATGGCTAGATAATTGGATCAGAGCATCTCCGAAACGGCAAGTCCTGTGGAGTGCTCCTGGTATGCAGTGGTTAGTATCTACCAATAGGGGTGCAAGGAAGGACACCTGATGAACCGGTATCTTGGTCATCGGCGTTCAATGCTTATTGATGCATGTGGTAGGTGAAGGCTAGTTCATTTGTTCTGATCACACAGAAGAACTACTGTAGCTCAAACTGCTGAAAACCATAATGCTGATCATGAAAGAAAGGTGTCACAACACGCAGTGCGGTTTCCAGCATATTGAGCTGCGTCGCCACAGACCGGTCAGAGTTCCCATGATGACCTCTGTCCACTGCTGAAAGTGCCTTCAATGGAGCCGTGAGCATCAGAACTGGACCATGGAGCAATGGAAGAAGGTTGTCTGGTCTGATGAATCACATTCTCCTTTAGATCAGGTGGTTGGCCGGGTGTGTTTGTGTCATTTACCTGAGGAAGAGATGGCAGCAGGATGCACTAGGGGAAAAAGGCAGGTCAGTGGAGGCAGTGTTATGCTTTGGGCAATATTCTGTTGGGAAACCTTGGGTCCCGGCATTCATGTGGATGTTATTTTGACATGTACCACCTACCTAGACATTGTTGCAGACCATGTAAAACAATTCATGGCAATGGTGTTCCCTGGTTGCAGTGGCCTCTTTCAGCAGGAAAATGCCCCGTCCACACTGCAAAAATTGTCCAGGGATGGCTTGAGGAACATGACAAAGAGCTCAAGGTGTTGCCTTGGTCTCCAAATTCCCCAGATCTCAATCTCTATGATGTACTGGAACAACAGATCTGATCCATGGGAGCCTCACCTCCAAACTTGCAGGACTTAAAGGATCTGCTGCTAATGTTTTAGTGCCAGATACCACAGAACTTGTGGAGTCCATGCCTTCACGCATTAGAGCTGTTTTGGCAGCACAAGGAGGACCTACATGATATTAGACAGGCAGTTTTAATGTTGTGTGTATACTTCCAGTGAAAAAAATATAGATATTTTTTTCAACATTTACCATAATTTTCTTTTCCTGGATATATCCATGGCAGCATTAGGGTAGGGTAAGATCTGCCCATTTGGTTGTTAAGGACAGGAAATACAATCTTTACATCGTGTTCAGCACATCCTCAGTATAGTTCCAAGCTCCTGAAGGTAACAATGGATACCATTGGATATGGGAGAGAAATTCATGCTACCATGGATATACCCGGGAGGAGGATATGTGGTAAGTATAGAACAATTTTCTATAATGCTGGACAACCCATGGCAGTATTGCCATAGGATAAAACGCACACTAAATCCAAGGTAGGGATTTTTTTTTAAATGTAAACAAAATACAAAGTACTGCAAAGTACAGAAGTAATTTATTTAGCTGAAACTGAAGTTAGGACAAAATGTGACACTCTACTATCAAAGGCATGATGAGAGGTGAAGAGGAGTGTGACATAATGAGCAGTTAAAAACAAATAAGGAACTGCATCAATCCCATCACTCTGAGCCAGGACTCAGCACCAGGTCCCAAATACAATATGCAAAAAGTACAAAGAGGTTCAAGCACTCCAAGGTTCAGAACGACAGTTTATTGAAGCCCAATGTCACACAACGTTTCGACCTACACGGCCTTTGTCAAGCTTGAAGATTTAAAGATTTGACTTCCTGTCCTTAACAGCAATATGGGCAGAGCTAACCCTATGGTAATACTGCCATGGTTCGTCTAGGACAATGATAGGCAACTGTTGGCACTTCAGATGTTGTGGACTACATCCCCCATAATGCTCTAACACACATAATGCTGGCAAAGCATCATGGGAGGTGTAGTCCAAAACATCTGCAGTGCCGAAGGTTGCCTATGCCTGGTCTAGGAATACATAATTAAATATCACCCAAAAGATGATCAGCAAAACAACTGCTCGAGAGACCTGGAGCTGATAAGTCTAAATAGGACAAAAAATGAGTATATAAACAAATCGCGATAAAATATTAATAGAATATAAAATCCTCTGGGAAAATGCAACACAAAAAATGATTGCTCGAGAGGCTGATAAAAGCTAAATAGGACAATGCATGTGTAAATAAACAAATCTTAACAAGATAAATTACGAGTGTAGCTAAAACTATTAAATACATAGGTTGAAACAAATCCCAATGTCAAGTGTTTTTATAGCAGCAAGGCTAGTGACATATTGATACAATGTAGCAAACTGTATTTTGCTACCATATAAAGATACATTGTAGCTAAAATAAAGGCACACTGTTGCTCAATAGTCTATTATTCGGCGTCCAAATTGAACAATACCAATTTGGACGCCGAACCTGTGCCAGATATTCGCCAATCAAATATTACTCTGCATATCCTTGAGTGGGGATTATTCCACTTCACGTGCGCAATATCAGAGCTGGATTTTAGCTCTGAAAAGTGTGAGTAAGACTATTTTTTACTATTTTATAATTTTATTCCTCTATATACTGTGCCATTGGAGTCCTGTTTTTATCTTCCTTCTCTCTACATATGCTCCACTGAATTTCAAGCATATAGCCGTGAGGACTTAACTCCAGTCTACATCCCAAGAATCCCTTTTCCACATGTGGGACCTATCATTACGGATTTATGATAAGTTTCTTGGACGATTGGAATTCATTTATTTTATTTTAATATTTTAATATATTTCAATATTTTAGGCGCACCCTTATTTTACTGGTTTTTTTTGTGTTCCTTTTTAATACCAGGGGATTAGAGGGGATTCCCCTTTGAGGAGTGCCGCCTTCCTATTATCTTCTTTTGTGGCAATTTAGCGCTGATTTTCTCTTCATGTTTTTTCAGGTAAAAATATCTCTAATAAGACAGAGAGGTATTTTTTTAAACCCCTACATACTTTTTAATAGGGAACACATGGGGTGGGTGACAGCATTGTAACATGGCTGTGTGAGATACAAAACTAAATACAAATATACAAAAATACGTCCTGGGCTCAAACTCCCACTACTCCTGGGTGGCAGGAACAACCATAGTACCCACCAGCCCAAAAACTAACAGTAAAACCAAAGAAAATAGTTACTTGTGCAGTATCGCAAATCTCTGTGCAAATCTAAATAAATGGAGGTAATTTAGTAACTTCAATAGTCATTAAATGTAAGCCCACCTGCCATGTCAAGGCAAACATCTTAGGTGGGTCCTTGAGTCATACACTAACAATTCACCTTGCTTCCTTTAGCTTCAGGTAAAAAAAAACTCTAATAAGACAGAGGTGTATTTTACTAAACCCCTATATACATATTAACCCTTAATAGGGAACACACGGGGTAGGTGGCAGCATTGTAATATGGCTGTGTGATACAAACGTGAATACAAATACACAAAAATAAGTCCTGCGCCCAAACTCTTACTACTACTGGGCAGCAGCAATGACCATAGTACACACCAGCCCCAATACAGACAGTAAAAACCAAACAAAAGAGTTACTTGCACACTATTTTTAGTATCACTCCAATGGCTATTAGATTGGCAGCTCACCTTTTTTTCAATGCCTGACAAACATGGGGGTTTTTTACTTTTTGTCTGTCATTGAGCAGATAGTACTGATAATAGTAATTTACTAGCAAAAAGCAAGTGAACAATATTTAGCAGATATGCATTCTACCAAATGCATTATGTTCTAATTTTCTTTAAACACATCTGGCCAAAAAGTAAAGATTCAATTTGTTTGACCAAATTCTGGCATTGTCTTTAAGAAATATAAAAATTGCCAATCTGGTTGCAATATGGCCATTTTCAGCAAATGTCTATTCGGATGTCACTTTTTAATTAGTTTTAGTGAATGATCCTTAGAGATTTTACAGAGCGTTACAGAGATATTTTTTACTTTACCAAATTTATTTTATCTCATTTTAATATTGTTTAACCCACAGTGTTGCATGAACAACATTTTAAATATATAATTATAAAATAGTTTTCTTTAACCCCATAATTCGCAATCTGACTGTGACGGACCGCCTGGCACCCAGACTGGGTACCTTCGTCAATCGCTGCTTCCTAGTACTTGCGAGCAACATGAGCACTGCACTTGAACACCATAACCACTGAAAACACAACAAACTGCGGCAGCTTGGTTGGGGTCTTGCTGTCCTCCACCCACCCTGAACCCAAGACCAGCTTCCAGTGAGTAGACCTTTCCTAGTCCAGAGAGCGAAGCAGGCTGCTCTTATAAGAGCAAGTGTTGCGATCCAAGGGAGTATAGTGATTATAGCAATCACCAGAGTGTGAATATAGCTCTCCAATCCCCCAAACATGAGCCTAGACTTCATGACGGGTAAAACGAATCTCACTTTAAAGGATCACTATAGGCACCCAGACCACTTCAGCTTAATGAAGTGGTCTGGGTGCCTGGTCCAGCTAGGTTTAACCCTTTTTTTTATAAACATAGCAGTTTCAGCCAAACTGCTATGTTTACAAATGGGTTAATCCAGCCTCTAGTGGCTGTCTCATTGACAGCCGCTAGAGGTGCTTCCACGCTTCTCACTGTGATTTTCACAGTGAGAAGACGCCAGCGTCCATAGGAAAGCATTGTGAATGCTGTCCTATAGACTTGCTGAATGCACCCCAGATCAGTTCAGGGGTTCAGCCGGTGACGGAAGAAGAGGGAGGAGAGGAGGAGGAGAGCTCTCCGCCCGGCGCTGGAGAAAGAGGTAAGTTTAACCCCTTCCTCCCCCCAGAGCCCGGTGGGAGGGGGTCCCTGAGGGTGGGGGCACCCTCCTGGCACTATAGTGGTCCTTTAATGGTAGCCACAACTGGCCTTTTATGACAGTCCCCATGCAAGGGGCACTCCCCTTTGGACCTGAGAGTAAACCACAGTAGAAATAAATACACAATCACATTGGCTCTCAGGTCCAGGACACTCCCATATAAAATCAGATAATCCCTCCTCTGTGCCTGAGAGATAATTGGATCAGGAACTGTACTAATCTAATCTAATTATCTCCAAGCACAGAAAAAAAACACTTTTTCCCAAACACCCCAAAAGTACCCTAAAAATACATAAAACCACACATCCCCTGATAGCCCTGATCTGGGGGACCAACGTATCCAAAAATCACCCAGATCAGTTCAGGGGTTCAGGAATTTCCTGGAAGTCTTCATTTTGACCGACCGCAGGCATGGTCCCATGCCCAAAACAGTTCCAGAGAACTAGGGATACCGGTCGGTCTCTCTGTCTGGAGTACAAAAGTACATAACACACATGAACAGAGCCTTTTAAAGTGCATTGGGCAAGGTATATTGCAGGGCCCATAGTCCTGAGGCAAGAGGCTGGCCAGCAGGCCCCTCCAAGAACCCGTGACGAGGTTTGGTACGTCACACTGACATTATAGTGTGAATTATTTCCTGTAATTCACATAAATGCCTTGTATTATAAATTACAGGATTATGTTGAACTGGGGCTCACACTCACATCTGCCTTCACATTTTAAAAATTCTATTGTCGCCCCATGTTTCGTTACCAAAGTTAAACGTGTTCATAGTGTTTATTTCTCATAGATAAAACCAATGACAACGAACAGCTGCAAAACTAGTGTACACCGAAAAGACTATGTTTTGTGCCCATGTTTTTTCTGATTATGAAGCCAATTAATTGCTCTGTACCACATATGGGCTTTTGCACAAGCCGCACTGTATAAAATGCATACCCTTTTGTCATTGCAAAAATAAAGAATCATAAAAAAAAATTAAAAAATTCTATTGTCATTTCACCGCAATAAAATTGTTAATGTATAAATGATGTTGCAACGGATTTCTTTCACTCCAAAAGTATTACGTGTTTTAAAATGCTTTCAAAATATATTTTATTCAATACATTTCTTAAACGAAGAACAATAGTTTAAGTTTGAGAAAAAAACATTAATATGTTTGCACAATGAACATTCTTCTTATTATATGAGGCTTTTTGTTTGTATTTTTGTGTTCAGTTTTCGAGCTGTCGTTGGATAAGTATAGATATGGATTTATCTTACGGCTTCTCTTACTGCTGGAATTTTTAGTATGTTAAAGGGACACTGTAGGCACTGTGTATGGTGACTGGGATGCTCTGGTGCCATAATTTAATTCAGCATTAAACAGTTTTTCACATTTTTATGTTTAAATGCTAAAGAAGAATCCTCAGCAGTCCATCCCCTCTGTGTTGCTTCGGCTAATGAGGAAGTATTAGAATGAGTATCAATGGGCAGCTGAGATTGTCTGAGATTGTCAGCTGACTACATTTAGCCTATCAGAGCTCCAACTGACGGTATGAATGGGTATGACTACAAGGAAGTGTGTAATCTCTGCTTTAGCCACACCTCCAGGAGGCGCTGGATTGTGGGTGGCCAGGGACACTTATTTAGTGTTAAACTGACCTAAAATTGTTTAACACTAAATGGAAGGACAGTACCAGGGAACTCCAGGCACTATAACCAATTCAAAGAGATGCAATATTTATAGTGACCACAGTGTCCATTTCTTTCTTTTTTTAAATTTATAAATCTTTATTAAAGGACCACTATAGTGCCAGGAAAACATACTTGTTTTCCTGGCACTATAGTGCCCTGAGGGTGCCCCCACCCTCAGGCACTCCCTCCCGCCGGGCTCTGGGGAGAGGAAGGGGTTAAACACTCACCTTTCTCCAGCGCCATGCGAGGAGCTCTCCGCCTCCTCTCCTCCTCTTTGGCTGAATGCGCATGCGCGTCAGGAGCTGTGCGCGCATTCAGCCAGTCTCATAGGAAAGCATTCATAATGCTTTCCTATGGATGCTGGCGTCTTCTCACTGTGATTTTCACAGTGAGAAGCATGCAAACGCCTCTAGCGGCTGTCAATGAGACAGCCACTAGAGGCTTTAGAGGCTGGATTAACCCTCAGTGTAAACATAACAGTTTCTCTGAAACTGCTATGTTTATAAAAAAAAGGGTTAACCCTAGCTGGACCAGGCACCCAAACCACTTCATTAAGCTGAAGTAGTCTGGGTGCATATAGTGGTCCTTTAAGGAATTTTCATTTTCCAGTTTACTTACATTAACAGATATTAATATATTATTACTCTTGAACATTAGCTATTAAAATCTTCGTTCTAGACATAAAACATATACAGTGTCCCTTTAATTAGTTGTTGGGATTAAGTCCTTTTTCTCTGCAAGTTACATAATAGTTGAAGGGAAATTGTGTGCAAACCATTCTGATATTGCAAACCTGAAAACAAGCTGTTGTTGGAAAACAGCCCTTATATAACACAATAAATTGGACAAACAAGAATTGTTTTAATAAAAAATATTTTTTAATTTTTTTTTAGATTTCATTACAGTTATGCTGTTCTGATAACTCTGGGATTTTAAAAGCAATAACGTTGGCCTGTAACCTCACCACTTAATTGTGTAATTCTTTCAATGTGTAATCTATCATCCTGGTCAGCACCAGGCGGATCACCAGGTGTAGAGAAATGTGGTTTCCAAGTAACTATATTTGTATGTGTCAGATCTCAATTTTCTCTAAACATTTCTCTGGCTTCAATTTAGTGGTTGCCCTGTTGTAGCATCTAACTATAGAGGAACTGTTGGATTAACAGCATAAAACTTGATAGACTTTAGTCTTTTTTCAACCTAGATTACAATTACGTAACTGTGTCACTACTCCGTGACTGACATCCTCTCTTTCCCTCACCTAGTAAGTGCTATAGAAGTGTACATTGAGTTGAGTGATCGTTACATAGTGATAATCTCAGTTTATCAAGTTTAACCTCTACAACTTTGTTCAACTTTTTATGCTGTCGATCTAAAAGAAGGCAACAAAACAATTTGGAGCAATGGCCAATTATGCCAAAAGGGGGGGAGGAGGGGGGAGAATCCTTGTTCTGAATGAACAGTTTAAGCATTTCTTTAAACTTTTCCCGATTTTAATTTTGTAGCCCTTCTAAACACTTTTTTTTTACTAGTTTTCAATATTCATTAAAACAGGTGTCCAGAATTACACCACATGTTCAAGGTAGGGTCTTACCATTGATATATATATATATAGACAAAGTTATACTTTGATCATGTGAATAAATATGCCTTTGTATACATGACAGCACCTTACTAGCCTTTACAATGGCAGACCAGCATTGTATACTATTGCCTAGTTTATCTAGCAGCAGACTGGAATAAAAGTACGATTTTAAGATATTTGGGGGGGGCAGGAGGGAAGCAGAGGGCTTCGATAGTGATTTTAACACCTTAGGGTCAGGAATACATGTTGTTCCTGACCCTATCGTGTTTCTTTAACTTTCCTTTAAAGTCCTAAGCCTGTGAAATGCATGGCCTTGCATTTATCTGTATTAAATCTCATCTGCCACTTGGCTGCGCAGTCCCCAATTTATCCAAATCTCACTATAGAGAAGTAAAATGATGTTCAGACTGTACTATCTTACCTAGTTTTCTAATCGGCAAACACGACACTTGACTTTTGAAAGTCTACTTCAAGATTATTTATAAACAGATTAAAGAAAACTGGTCCCAGGACAGAACTCTTACCACTTTTTTTTTTAATTCTTTATTTTTGCGGGTAGCATTGTAAACACTTTACATCACATGTTCATAATGGGCATATAGGAGATAAGAGGTACAACAATCAACATGGGTGTAGAATTGACCCAGTTTAAAAAATTTTAAACACTGTAAATCCATGCTTTCCTTAACCCAAGAGGTACTAACGGGAAACTAGGGAAAGCGTATATGAAGCTTTATGTGCCTGCTGGCTGAGCTTTGCGTCATAAGTGGGGGTTGTGCATATTGCACTTATAAAAGTATGACTTCCGTGGAAAACCTACCAATGGCTTATAGATTTAGCCGGTTCCGGCAAGGGTGATATGTAAACAGGGTGTATGTCTAGGGTGGAACGTGTAGGTGAGTGCTCATGTTAATAGGAGAGCAGCATAGGACACGTTCTGAGATGATGTGGTGGGGGTACAGTATCTATATTAATGAGCAAGTCATTTGCTTACGGAGCCAGGGTGAGAGGTAAGTACCGGTAAGTGGTGAATGCAACAAAGGAATCAGTGAAAAAGAAGAACTGAACATTAATATTTAGAATATTAATTAAGGATTAAGCCAGACACCACCGGCACTGCCCTTCGGGGCACAAATGGAGTAATCCCCTCCACCGTCCCCGTTGGATGTGGGTTTTCTTGGAGAGGCTCCACTGGTAGGTCTAGGGACTGTATGAAGCCAAGTGCCTCCCAGATATGTGACAGGAGGTGCATCTTGCCGGGCTTGTCCACTAACAGTCGGTGTGAGCCCCATTTGTAAGGGATGTTTTGTTCGCGTAGCAGTTGAGTAATGTGTCTGAGAGATCTTCTAGTGTATTCTTTGAAATATCTCTGTAGAAGACCAGGTGCGCTCCCACAAAGGATACTGTTGGAGAGCCTCTTGCGGCGCCCATAAGGGCCTCTTGGTCTGTGTCCTTTACAAATTTAAGCAGGAAATCCACAGTTACTTCTTGGGGTGCATTGGCAGCCTTTGCGAGGCAGAAGCAGGTATCCATCACGAGCTGTTTGGCCTGTTTTGTGCAGAAAGGTGGCAATAAGCCTCCTGCAGTAGTGAGGCAGTTCGGCGTTAGAGACCGACTCCGGTACTCCACGTATTCGTACATTGCGTGCTTTAGCCCTGTCTTCCATGCTGGCTAACTGTGCTGTCAGATCGGCACATTTCTTCTGCAGTGACCCTAGGGCAGTATCTGTGGCGGACTGCGTCAGTTTAGCACTTGCCATGTTCCCCTGCACTGCCTCCACTTGACTGGCAAGTATGGTAACCTCCTCCCTAACCGGTGCAATATCTGCCTGAAACATGGCTTTGATGTCTTTCCTCAGTGCCTGTATGTTGGCTTTGGTCGAGGGAGCTGAGTCACCCTCCTCCAGAGATGTCCGCGACACCGAGCGTACCTTGGATGCAGCAGGAGGGAGATATTGGAGGCTGTCATCATCCGACGTTGGAGTAGGCCCCAGCCAGCACCATCTTGGGAAGCACGGTCCGTGGCGTAGGTCGCAGAACAGCTTCAATATCTCTGGAGCCTGAACCAGAATCAGCATGGTTTTTGACATTTTTCTTCCCCTGTTGATTAGCTGTCCAGGGAGCCCCTCTAGAACCCGGTAGGTAAGGTAATAGCTGCATGAAGTTGTGGAAATCGGGGCAAACTCTCAGAGCTGCAAGGGTAGACGTCTAGCTTGCTCGGGTGCTGGCTCCATCCCCCTTCTCCCGCCACTTACCACTTTTGTACAACTTCAGAATGTTCCATTTGCAACTATTCTCTGTTCTCGTTCTTTAGGCCAATGGGATATAGCTACTAGAGGCAGTCCTAAACCTTTAATTGCAGTTTCTCTAAAATGGCAGTGTTTTAAATTGCAGGATTAAGGGGACAGGGACACTGCACCCAGACCACTTCAATGAGATGAAATGCTCTGGGTGCCTATAGTATCCTTTTAAGTTAGTTTGGCATGACCTGCCTTTCATAAAACCATGCTGCTTCCTACTAACGATATGATTGTTCAAAATGAATTCCTGAATATTAAAAGGACACTATATTCACCAGAACAACTACAGCTTATTGAATTTGTTCTGGTGAGTAGAATCATTACCTTCAGGCTTTTTGCTGTAAACACTGTCTTTTCAGAGAAAATGCAGTGTTTACATTAGAGCCTAGCAATAACTTCACTGGCCACTCCTCAGATGGCTGTTAGAGATCCTTCCTGGGTCATGGCTACCTAAAATGCATCCAAACATTCAGTATCTCCTCCCTCTGCATGCAGACACTGAACTTTCCTCATTCATTAATTCATTTCATCTCTATGAGAATATGCTGATTGGCCAGGTCTGTGTTTGAATTGTGCTGGCTCTGCCCCTGATCTGCCTCTTTGTCAGTCTCAGCCAATCCTATGGGGAAGCATTGTGATTGGATCAGGCTACCACTTCTGATGATGTCAGCAGGCAGTGGGCAGGTCTAAAGGAAACAGTGACAAAGTAAGCAGCTGCAGACTTGAATACAAGTAATATTTTACTATATTGAGGGGGACAGAGGGGCTAGATGGTGGCTTTAACCCTATTGGGTCAGAAATACATGTTTGTGTTCCTGACCCTATAGTGCTCCTTTAACTCTTATAAGCCCTTTAAACAAATTTCCCACCTACAGATATTTTAAGCTCACAGGTCTGTAGTTTCTGGGTTGAGATTTTAAACCTTTTTAACAGTATGTACCAGATCTGCTATTTCCTCAATCCTCTGGTACTATTCCTTTAAGAAAGAATCCTGATTGATTAAGTTCTGCTTTTTCTGAACAAGATATGTCTTATTTTCATATTATCAGTAGTTCTGCTCAGCCCTGCAGCAGCTCATTGAGAGGAATATGGAAGGTGAGAATGTCATTTTGTCGTTTTTACTATAGTTTACATGACACTCACCAACATAGGTCGTAACATCTTTCTTACATCTTTCTTAGTTTGATAGAGCCTATAAAATAAATAGCTTTCCCACAATTTATATTATTTTGTAAGTTGTTTTATCTTTGTTGAACTGTTCAAGAACGAGGTGGTGTCAATATTGGCAGACTCTTTGATATGGGCAGAAGTGCCATTTTGTGTGTTACTGGAAGGTGTGCTCTGTCCTAGACATCGCCGGGTGCCATCTTGGTCATGGGCCATTTTTGTGTGAGGTAGGGGAAGGTTCTGCTGGTGCGTGGATCGCTACAAGTGAGTGTTGTCAGAAATATATATATCATGCCATTTGGAAAAATTATTGAAAAAATCATAAATTATTTCAGAGGACGTTAACACAAATTTCTAAATATTTTATTGCTCCATATATTATAGACAAAAGCCTATAAAAATGAATACCTATGTTGTGCGATAGCTTTTATATTGGAGGAACACACACCACACACCTCATCAATCTGAAGAAATAAGCTGTAGATTTTATCAGCTCAAACTGTGAAAACCGCTTATTCATGACATGTTCTCAAGCAATTAAAGGATAATTGTATATCACGCAGCATCTAGACACGCGATAGATGACTAAATAATCAATAACTTCACATGCAGCCAGCTGCTGGTGTGAGTCATGAACCCATTTAGCAGAGTTATGTCCCAGAAAAGACAATTCTCAGTTACTCATCTTTAAAAAATATTTATTTAGTTAAACAATAATGCAATTAGAAAACCATTTAGAACCAGAATTAAATATATATATAAAAATATATATATATTTTTGTTCATGCATTGTAAAGATCATGCATAAAAATGTGTATGTAGGGGGGCAGAGCCTGACTGCAGAGGCAATCTGTCGCACTAACTGGGAGCTCCAAGATACAAATAAACAAAAACGGAAAAATCCCCAAACAACAAATCCCCAACTCACAGCAAAGACCCTCTGTATACCCTCTGAAGACATGGGGCGCAAAACAAAAAAAACAAACATGGAGAAAACCACCTCCGGGCTCACAATAGGAGACATGTGGAGACAGGCCCATGGTGCAAGCGGGCCCAACATGGTGGCGCTCCACGGAGGCTGCTCCCACTTCTCCGACGACCTCTCAGGGGAGGAGTACTTGCCAGCACCCAAGTCGGGACGATCATCGCAACTGACCACCACCAGCCTGGACTCTGCACCGGTGACCGCAGCGGTCCTCAAGCAACTGCTCGCGGATCACCACAACAGACAAAGACATCTCCGCACCACGGGGCGATCTAAAAAGGTTGACAGCCCACCTGACCACACTTGAAACCACAGCCGAAACAAACACCCGTGACATAGGTGAACTTCAACGGGCAGTACATGACTTGCACCTGCAACATCAGAATCACGAACACCACATGGCGGAACTAGAAGACACCAGGAGGCGAAACAACCTTAAGTTTAGAGGGGTCTCTGACACAATACCCGAGAAAGAACTGCCGCGGGTTATTAAGCGTATACTCGCAACAATACTGCCACCCGCACAAGCCCACAGTATCAACCCCGACTACCTGTTCAGGATACCCAAACCACAAAGGGCACCAACCGCGGCCACACGGGACATTATAGTCACTTTCCGACACAGAAACGACAAAAAGGCAGATGCCCTGCGGGGAAAATAACCCTCCAATTTGAAAACATGCCTCTGAGCGTCTTTGCCGACCTCTTGAGCGATACCCTGGCATGGCGGATGTCCCTCTGACCCCTCACTACACTTCTCCATCGGCACAACCTCCAATACCACTGTCGACCATCCCACACACTCACCGTCCAGCAGGGGCCTGACTCTCACAAGATCCGAGACATTAATGACGCAGCACCACTCCTGCAAGCACTAAGTATATCACGGGACTCTCTTGTCCAGCCGGGCCAAGAGAAAACAGCCTCCCCAAGGCACATGTGGGACCTGAACAGAACAGTCCTGTTCGTAAAGCAAGGGTCTAACAACTGAACCCTACGTGGCAGTCACCACCTAAACGAGGTCGGACGGAAACACTGCATAATTGCGATGTGGCACGGACTTGAACGCCACCCATGCCTCATACCCACGCAGGGCTTTGGGTAACTCTTTCTTCACGAGAACGGTCATACACCTCTTTGGCCCCTCGAACTAACCCTTTAGACAGCTGTTTACTTTAATTTGTTTACATTTCATTTAATGTGTTATATATTTTATCTCAACTGCTGGGTTTCCTTGTGTTAAGCCCCGGAACGCAGCACAACACAGCTCTCCACAGAGCCTGCTCTGCATTACAATTTATATCTCACATAGCCATAAAGATCATTGTATATGTCATAGTTAATTAACGTTCAACACCTACGCCTAGCCCAATCGAACATCCACGAGAGTCTACCGTCCCAACCGGTCACCCAGCCCTAGCTACTATGCAGCACTGACACTGACAGATTAAACCAACAGGTCACCACATATAGGCCTAGACACCAGCGCAGGAGGATGATAGACGGTGCGCTGGAGCTGGTTACACATAATCAACACATAAACTCTAGCGGTAAACTGTGTTATCACGGCATGGGATCACTCAGCAGAACAATGTGCTCACAAACCTCACACATGTCTATCAATCACCCTTTTTATCGCCATAATTATTGGAGCTTTTTCAGCACAGTTCCCTATAGGCCTCACATGGGGGGGATACAGAGACTATACTCACAGGCTTCTCTAACGAAGGACACGGCACACACGAGCCACTCACCCATGTACACTAGTCAGGAGCACACTCCCATCCACTGACGGGCTCCATCCCTCTCGCTAGAGATAACTATCACCGTGCCAACGGGGGCATCGGCCTTATGCTACAATGGGTTCTGTTTTTACCATTTACATTGTTTATATGGTTTTCTCTGATGGCATGCAATTCTATTCTCACACATTACACCCCTCTGGGGCAAACTATTTAACCTGCAGCCTGATATAACTGCAATCTTACAAATGGCTTAACACCCAAATATACAATGTTCACAGGACACTCATTGGCCACAACCTCTGCTCAGCATATCATCCAGCGCAACAGTGCTCACACAATGGATCTGCCCACAGAGCACACAGACACATTCTCAGCTGTTCATTTATACAGCATCCTTATTAATACGTGTGTCTCCCCTGGCCCACAGAGTGACTACACATATCCCAAACTATACCAGAAGCAACTACATTGCTGGATGTATCCCTCGCATACAAACAAAACTATTATTCTATGTCCAGCTAAACCTAACTTGCATAACTTTCTTAAACTCCTCGCAGGACGCTCTTCACTTTAGAGGAACACTTCATTTTATCACGAACACCTCCACGCTACGCTAAGCCTTTGCATGTTGATGTTTATGTACCATAAAAATAATGTGCAGATACTCGTTTAACATATATATGACGTGAACGCTGTTGTGGCGTCTGATCAGGGCTGCCATCAGAAATGTTGGGGCCCCTGACACAGCTCAAGGTCTGGGCCCCCCGGTGCCTGCACCCGAGTCCGCCCAAAGTGCTACCCCCCCCACCCCCCTGAATCCGCCCATAGGGATGCAGTGTCTGCAGGGCCGGTGCAAGGATTTTTGCCGCCCAAAGCAAAAGTAAAGTTTGCCGCCCCCCCATGTGACATCACAATGCTCCACCCATATGATCTGCCATGTTAACTAACACCAGTGCTGCAGTGCCGCCGTGTTTACATTAAAAGGCCTGCAGGGACAGGCTAGACACCAGAACCACTACATTAAGCTGCAGTGGTTCTGGGGACTATAGTGTCCCTTTAATGTGAGGTAAATTAGAGATTAGTGCCACGAATAATATACTAGACTGCCTACTTACAACCAGATGAGGATGATGATGGGCTCTAGCTGCCGTCTGGCTCAACTGGTCTGGTGTACAACAGGCTCTCTGGAGGCGGTTTGTAACTGTGGTCACAAAAATCACTGTTCTGGGAGAACGGGAAGCAGCTCCATATTTTTGAGGGCCCTTTACACAGCTCAAGGTCTGGGTCCCAGGGTCCACCTTCATGTTCCACCAATGAGTTTGTTCACAGGGAGTGGAGTGTGTGTGTGCGGGATGTCCTGATGTGTGTAAGGAATGCATTGTGTGAATCTGTGTTTGTATGTGTAAGGGCTGCAAGATGAGTTTGTGTATGTATGGGATGCAGTGTGTGCGTCTGTAAGGGATGCATTGAGTGTTTGTAAGGGGTGCATTGTGTGTTGCTGTGTGTAAGGGATGCATTGCTTGTGTACGTGTATCTGTGTGTAATGCATTGTGTGCTTTTCTGTGTGCAAGGGGTGCATTGTGTGTGATGGATGTCAGTCTCTCCCCTTCCCCCCCGTCAATTTCCTTCTCCCCCCCCTCCCTCCAATTTCCTTCTTCTCCCCCTCCAAATTTCCTTCTTCTCCTCCTCCCTCTCATTTCCTTCCTCTACCCGTCTCTCAAATTTCCTTCCTCTCCCCCGTCCCTCAAATTTCCTTCCTCTCCCCCGTCCCTCAAATTTCCTTCCTCTCCCCCGTCCCTCAAATTTCCTTCCTCTCTCCCTCCCTCAAATTTCCTTCCTCTCCCCCCCTCCCTCAAATTTAATTCCTTTCCCTCCATCCCCTCAAATTTCCTTCCTCTCCCCCTCCCTCCCTCAAATTT